CAATCATAATCTCTTGCCCCCATGATGCCAGCCAGTTATATGATTTTTGTTCTGTTCTTTGTTCTATGCTTATAAAAATGAGTCGCATCTTCATTTCTGGGCCTTGAGCATAAACTGAGGAAACTAGAGACCCATTGTATTGGTAGGTTCTTTGCCCTACTAATAAAATGTTATCCTGCTGGAAGGAGAAAGGGAGAGGGGATTTGAGCATGTATATTATTGAAATATAAGGGAATTTTGGGAATGAGGAAGTAAAAAGAGTTTAGGAGAAGAATATGAAGGAAATGAGAAAGGTGTGGATATATGGAAGGATTTTTAAAAGAAGGAAGAATGTTTAGGTATGTTGGGAAGAATGGTTTGAGGGAAATTTTGGTTTTGTTGAAATAACAAGGATGTAAGAGACTTTATGTGTTTATTTTGTTGGGATCTTTAGTAATAAAAATTGCAGCTTGAGTTCCCAGCCTCCAAAGCAGGGAGAGAAGAATGCAAAACTATGGTGGTGGGAACAAAGTTTGGTCAGATTTTTTAATTGATTTAAAAGTAAATAGAAAAAGGTTATGGGAGCTGGGAGTGAACCCATAGCAATGAGTACTTTTTGAGATTTTAAATGTTGCCATTAGTAATTATAAAACCCAGATTTGACTTGATTGAAATACATCCTCAAACTAAATCAGAATGTGCTTTTAAGTGTGTTCCGCAAATGGGATAATGGGGGTAGGCTACCACTTTTACATCTTTGGCAGTGGATTAGCTGAAAATAGTGGGCTTTATAATATGAAATGCTTGGAATAAAAGGCCCTTAGAGAAAAATAATAACAAAACAAAAATTGTGATTCTGTATAATACCATTTGAGAAATAGATCCAGGTGTGATTGAATTTATTCTGGTCTTATTTATAAGTGGGGTATGTTCTTCTAGCGGGACAATTATGATATGTCAGAATTTATTCTGTTATTTGGCATTGATGCAATGTTGGGAAAATGCATGGATCAGGAAATTTGTTACCTGTGTGATCTTATAACAAATTAACCCAGCTTACTAATCTGTAATATGTCTAAAGATAGTGCTTAACCTAAATGTGATAATTCATTGTACTAGAAATAATGTTAGAAAAATACATGTTCTTTTAATCTGGATTCTTTTGGGATTATAGATTCACTTGTTAAAAGAATGATGTGAAAATCTTGGAAAACTGTTCATTAGGAAACACAATAGATAATGTTTTTTATAGTGAATTTGATATAGCAGAAATCTCTTTAAGGTGTCCTCATCTGGGAAATGCAGATGTTTTAAGGTCTCACCTGACCTCCCTCTGCAATAATGGTATGAGGTATTTTAACATTAATGGCTTACACTCTTTAGCCCAGTATATTTTAAGTTTGGCCTAACAATAACAGTTGTGAGTTTAAATTGATGGAGTCATATGTATATATGTATGTGTGTATATATATATACATATATACATATATGCAAGCATATGCATGTATATTTAGTAATTTTACTGTAAGTTTCATTTGTCCTATGTAATTTCATTTGTCCTATGTATATATTACCTTTTGCTGGTGGGGTCTTTAATGAAATGTGTTTTGTACTAATGCCTTTCCAAACTATGAGGATTGAAAGTTTAAAATCCACTTGTGATAGAATAAATAATTTTTAAAATGTAGGCTAATTTGGAAATGCATTTGACTAAATTAATGTCATCTGATTAGTAATAAATCTTGTTTCATGTTTTAAATTCATGATATTGTGAATGTTATTATTGTTTCTAAATTTTCCTGTGCTGTAAATTCTGAGAAACCTTTGTTTAAGACATGCTGTTAAGAGAATGATAAAGATTGTGTCTTTGAATAATTTAATTCTTTTGGACACTGTGAAATCATTAATTGTATTATTAGAGATTAGAGAAGTTAGATGGCACAGTGGATAGAGTGCCAGGTCTGAAGTTAAGAAGACCTAAGTTTAAATCCAGGCTCAGATGCTTACTAGCTGTGTGACCCTGGGCAAGTCACTTAAAAACCCTGTTTGCCTCAGTTTCCTCATCTGTAAAAATTATCTGGAGAAGGAAATGGCAAACCATATCTTTGACAAGTAAACCCCAAATGGGGTCACAAAGAGTCAGACACAACTGAAAATGACTGGACGACAAGATTGGAGACCATTGTCATAAGCTAAGACTTATCAAGTATTTAAGGAGAAGGCAGATTAGAATAAGGAAGCTGTTGGGCAGGGAGTGACCTTGAAAGAATCAAATTAACAGGTAAGAGAGATAGCAGGAGGTTCAAGAAATGGAGACATGTTGATTCCAATCTCTGTTTGGGATTAAAGTAGAGGAAGGGAGAGGAGAAAAGAATTGGCAGTCCTTGAGAAAAAGACAGGGACAGGCTCCCTGATCCTCCAAGCCCCTCTGGAGGCTGGGATTATCACAGAGAGAAGAGCAAATGTAGGGGCGGGGTAGGGATGGGGGTGTATGGAGGGTGGGAGGAGCTGTGGATATAGAGAACTATGAAGAAGCTCAAAACCTTCCTTCCCCTGTGTCCTCTGATCTTTCCTCCCTCCTTGTGCACTCCCTTCTTCCTTTCCACTTTCCTTTTTTTCCTTGCATTCTATTTTTTTTTTTGCACCACACACACTATAATTTCAGTTACAATGGCCTACTTCTTCATATGCAATGGTTCTTTATATGCAATACTCTATTTCCCACCTGCATGTCTTTGCAATATATCCAAAATAGAATGCATTATATTTTCCCCACAACATTCCCTCCTCCAAATTCTTCTTATTTCTTTTGGTGGCACCACCATCCTATCCAGTTGTCCTAGTTCAGTCCAAGAATTATTTCACTTTCCTCACATTGACTTGTTCTGTTTTCTTCCTGTAATATTTCTTACTCCTCCCATTCATAACCCTTATAGAGATAAATACCTTCCTTAGAGTCCCCTGGGAATATCCCCAGGTTTCTATGTCCCAGAGTAGAAGGTCCCAGGGCTCAGTCCCATAATTATGGTATTCTATCTCAGATACTGCAAATAGTTCCCCCCCACCACAATTCTCCATGATAGGTGTCATTTTCTCTACTCTAGACCAAGCTATATAACCCTTCTCCTTTTCACAGCCAGACTTCTAGATGGAGTGAACTACATTCACTGCCTCTGTTCCTGCCTTTATCCTCTAGCTCTTTATGACTCACATTTCACAATCCCTTGAAATCTGGCTTCTTACCCCACTTTTTGACAGAAACGACTCTCTTTAAGGTCAATGTCACTGTCTTAACTGTTAAATCCAACAATATTTTCTCAATGTAGTAAAATGAGTGTTGGTCTTGGCATCAGAAAGACCTGGGTTTGAATGCCAACTCAGATTCGTATGAACTATGTGACTTTGGGCAAGTCATTTACCTATTTCAGGTCTCAGTTTCCAAATCTATAAAATGAAGAGGTTGGGCTCAATGATCTTTAAGGTCCCTCCCAGATATAAATTAATGATGTTATAATCCTATTATGCTCCCATAACTTCTCTGATACTCTTCAATCTTATGTTTCCTCCATCCTGTCTGACTGCCCTGATCAGTTTCCTTGTATCATTACCCATCTCCTACTCATTAAAAGTTGGTGTCCTTCAAAGCTCTGTTCTGGGTCCTTTCTTCTTCTCCCCTCCACAAAAAAAATTATATGTCATCTCATGAGCTCTAAAGGATGAAATTAACATCTCTGTATGTATAACTTATTAATCTATATGTCCAACCATAATTTGATTCCTGAATTCTGTATCACCAGCTGACCACTGGAAATCTCAATAGGTTATTACATTTCCCCTCAAGCATTCATTCCTCCAAACTTCGTTATTTCTCTTGGTGGTACCCCCATTCGTTCTAGTAAACTAAGTTTACAATCTTAGAATCTTTTTTTTTTTCCTTCTCTCTTACTCTTCATATGTGATCAGTCACCTGGCTTTTTAGGTTCTACAGCTACAAAGCATTTCTTGTATCTGTTCCTTCCTCTCTACTCATATGGTTATTATCCTCATTCAGACTCATAATCTCTCACCTGTGAACAGTCACAGTCATAGAGAGAATGTACAATAGTTTCCTGATTGACACACCTACCTCTAGCCGCTCCACACAGTTGCCAAATTAATATTCCTAAACCATAGGTATTATGGGAAAAGTCTGACTCAGGCTAGTTACCCAGTAGTAGTTTGGGTCAAAAATAGGAATGAAATGAAGCAAGCCTGATCCACTTAACAGTTGACAAAAAGATGTCACTTAGCCACAGCAGCAGAAGGACTTTGGGAACAGAGAAATCATTTTTATCCAGGGTGAAGCACTGATTCATAGCACAACATCCTTCACAGAGGACTGTTTCATTTTTATCTTCATAATCCTAGTGCCAGCACAGGACCTTGTACACAGTAGGTGCTTAATAAGTATCTGTTGAATTGAATTAAATGCCTGATTGTCTGGAAGTAGCCTATCTTGGTCTTTTTTTTTGTCTTATTACCACTCTAGTCTTACGAACTTTTTTACCCCCCCCAATGGTTTTTCCTCTGGTAATCACCTCCCCTCTCTGCCTTAACTTTCCGACACACACAGAAGCCTCCAAATCAGGAGATTTACCTGTGTGGTATAGCTGATCTCTCCATTTACCACAGGAGGGCTTTTTCTACCAGCCGCACCACTCCCCATTTTGCCTTGAGGTTCCCAAGGGTCATGTTCCTTGGGTGAGGCCAGAAAGGAGATGGAAAAGAGGTGGTAGCATTCTTAGCAGATTCAGGGTTACAGTCACAGAGAGAATGTATACAATCAAAGTTTATGTTGAAATTTTACATGAGCTAGCTCATGGTTGAGCAGTGTAGGAGATTTATTGGTGTAGAAGCGGGTGAGACAAGTATGTGTGAAGTATTAGGGAGAAATAAGTCATTGGAATGAAGGAGATATGGGTATGCAAATGGAAAAGAGTGGAGGGATTGGGTTCTCCAGGAGCACAAGGGACTCTGATAATTCAATTGTCACTGGTGACCTTGTGGATCCAGTCTATGTAATTGCAGACCTTGGTGTAGACTGTAGGGAAATTCTTCAGGGCACAGCCATTGCCCCAGGATACCACACCCTGGAGTTCCCCATTGCAAACCATGGGGCCACCTGAATCTTGCTACCAAAAGGAGAAGTAAAAATTAGATTAATTTCCTGATATCCCCAGTCCCTGATGATCCCAGGGCCTATCATAGTCTCTCAAAAGATTAATGATCCTTTGTGGGATTCTAGGGGCATGAGGGTCACATTAACATGAACCCTCTGTCCACCATAAACCCCTGATCTGTTACTAGTTCATCACCAGACAGGCAGTAAGCATATTTATGGCTTGAGGCACCTTCAGGGCCTCATTTTCCTTATCTATAAAATGAAAGGGTTTGACCAGATGATTTCAAAGGTCCTTTCCAGCTCTAAGTTCTGCTCTTCAGTATGGGAGGAGAGTGACACTTTTTACATAAACATACATCAATCTTACCATCCCTCCTACTCACTACAGGGTTTTGTACTGAATTTTGAAGCAACTGAGGGAAATTAGAAGACTAAGGTAGGAAGGCAGGGCATTCTAGGCTTGGAGGTCAGAAAAAGGAATGTTGCATCTGAGGAACACAAAGTAAACCAGTGTACTGAATTACAGGGTATGTGAAGGTGAGTAAATTTTAAGAAGATCAGAAAAGTAAAAAGCAGTCAGGTTGTGAAGGGCTTTAAATATCAAGCAGAGGATTTTCTATTTTATCCTGAAGGTAATAGGGAGCCATTTGAGCTTATTGAGTAAGGGAGGTGATATGGGCAGACCTGAACTTTTCATCAAAGGCTTAACATTTCACTCCAATTTCTGACCCAGAGCTTCCTGAAATATGCAGCTGAAAGAGCCAAGAGAGTTCTCATTTACAATTCTAACTCATCTACTTTTTCTTTTTTTTTTTTTTCTTTTAAGGCAATTGGGGTTAAATGACTTGCCCAGGGTCACACAGCTAGTAAGTGTCAAGTGTTTGGTCTGAGGCCGGATTTGAACTCAGGTCCTCTTGACTTCAGGGCCAGTGCTCTAGCCACTGTACCACCTAGCTGCCCCTCATCATCTATTTTTTCTAAAGTGTCAGAGTCCCTTTGATTTGGGCCCTTACCTGACCACTGAAGGACAAGAGCAATGATGAAGAGGAGGACAGGAACAGAGGGCCTCAGTCTCTCAAATATTTGAATACTCCCAAAACTCTCCTGCTCATCCAGAGAAAGTACTGTCTGTAGCAGATAATGATAGTGGAGGAGACTTGTCAAAGACCAGTGAGGAGGGGCAGTCAGGTGGAATAGTGGATACAGCTACCAGCTCTGAGTCAAGAGGATCTGAGTTCACATCTGGCCTTAGATACTAGCTGTGTGACCTTGGGTGAGTCACTTAACCCCGATTGCCTCAAAAAAAAAAAAAAGACCAGTGGGGATTTTTTAAATACAGAGAGACTCTCCAGGTAGGACACAACTGAGCAAGAAGATTTGGCTTATGCTAGCGAAAATTATCAGAGAAATTACTGTCATGTGCAGAAAACAGTAACTAACAGTTTTCATTAAAACAGTTATAAAAAATATCCTTCAAGGAAAGGAAAATTAAATGGAGGAGAGGGAATGCAGAGACTCTGAAACATAGTGAGGTTGATTTAAGGTCAGGGTGGGAGAGCTCACCTGGGGTATCATGACTAGGCAGAGAGGGAAGCAAGTTCCATCTGATCATTTCCCCATTTAATAAATTATTCTCACAACTAGGTAATAAGCTATTTATAGCTCTTGAAGGAATAGAATTTCTTGATATTTCAGTACCCTGTAGCAAAGCTCTGATTGCTTCACCCTATTTATGTCTTCTAAGGCCCATTTTGGATGTTTTATACTTCAGAATACAAGTACATACTTCAGAAAGCTCTGCTGTTTTAAATGTTTGATGTAAAATGCAAGTCTGACCATGCACCATTCCCCCATCCCCTTCACTAAGCTCCAGTGCCTCCCTATTACCTCTAAGATAAAATATAAATTCCTCTCTTTGCCATTTAAAGTCCTTCACATTCTGACCCCCTTTTTTTTCTTTAGCTTTTTCGTTTTCTTGTATTTTACTCCCTTATATATACCTTATAATTCAGCTACACTGGCCTAATTGTTCCTCAGATGCAATGGTCCATCTCCTGTTCATCCTTCAGGTGTAGAATGCTCTGCCCCCTTACCTTTGCCTCCTGGTTTCTTTCAATTCCTTCAAGATTCAGCTCAAATCATACCTTCTGCAGGAGGCCCCCATTGTTAGTGGCTTCTCTCTGAGATTTTTGTTTTTGTTTAGTCATTTTTCAATTGTGTCCGACTGTTTGTGACTGCATTTGGGGTTTTCTTGGCAAAGATACTGGAGTGGTTTGCCATTTCGTTCTCCAGCTCATTTGACAGGTAAGGAAACCAAGGCATTTAGGATTGAGTGACTTGCCTCGGATCATACAGCTCGCAAGTGTCTGAGGTCTAATTTGAATTTGGGTCATTCTGACTGTAGGCCCAGTGCTGTATCCACTGTGCCACCTAGCTGACCCGCTCCTGAAGTCACCTTCCGTTTACTCCATGGTTATTTGTATGCTGTTTCCCTCATTAAGCTCCTTGAAGGCAAGAACCAGTTCCTCCCTTTATATCCCCAGTGCCTGACATGTAGTAGGTGCTTAATAAATACTTGTTGACTGATTGATGCCTGACACTGCCCTGTAGAAGATTGACAATGCATGTAACCTTCAGACTAAAGTTTAACTCTGCTCTTGCCCTGCTGCACAGGTTCACAGGACTGACCCCAACTGCCTGACCACATTAGTGTTTTGCCCATAGAGTTTGAACCAAGCCATCCAGACCAGTGATCTTGAGTCTGTGTAGCCTTCAGCTGGCGCTTTTGCCATCTGTCTCATCACACTGTTGAGCATTAGCCTGATCTTTGATCTTTAAGGCTTCTTGCCAAGTGAACCGACCCTGGTTGTGAGGATGGGATGGAGATAGAGAGGAGCGGTATGGTACGTGCAGTTACCTGGCAGGCATCTTTGCCTCCATCCAAAAAGCCGGCACAAAACATATTGCTTGTGATAGCACCAGGATAGGAAGCTTGGCAGACATCATCAGAGAGAACAGGGATGTCCAGGCACTGCAGTAGGTCAGGAGAATTCCCTTGGGGGGAAACAATGATTAAAGTCTGTGAATTTATCACCCACCTAGCATTGTTTCTTTCTTTAGCAACACCTCGCAAGAACCGGACTGGCACAAACTCAGGATGCTAGACCATCAGGTCAAGGCAACTAGGGTGCAAGACTCCCTTTCCTTCCCTGTCAAGAAGCACAGATTCTCTCTGAGATTGGCCCTAGGCAGAAAAGTTCTTAGGGGCAAATTGTCTTGAATGGAGTGGTGCTGAGAAGATCCTCTCTATACCTAATCTCTCTCTCTCAGTCCTTTGCCACAGAGCTGAAATTCTACCATTAGAGATTCATTTCTTTGGATTTCTGCCTTGCTCCCATTAGTATGCACATACTCCTGAAATGGGTCTGTCATTAATACCTATCTGTGAAATGGTTTCTTGGATCTTTTCCAGCTATCTGTTTACTAAAAGCTGAGCCCTGCCTGCCAGAGAAAGGGGGAAAGAGATAGAAGTCAAATCTAGAAAGGGCAGGACTACCCTTCGGTGCCATAGACAAGGGACTAGATATATCAGCCTCCAGAAGAGCGCACCATGTATTGGGCTCCTTGAGGGGAGAAGACAACGAAGGCGAACTCCATATCCTTTACAATTTTGCACAGGTCCCACACTGACCCTCCTGCTCAAATTTCCCCAATGTACTCTGGAGGGTTCCACCTTTATTTCTTTGACAATGGAAAATCACCCTACTGGTGGTCATAGGACTAGCCTGATGTTTAATGAGAATTTTATCTCATTTTCTTATCCCTTTTCCAAGCTCAGAGAGTTACCCTCAACTTCTTTTTGTTGTATCAACTTTGGAAATAACAGAATCTCATATTTGGAGTTGTAAGGGAGCTTAGAAGTCCCTTAGTCTAATTTCTACATTTTACAAATAACAAAACCAAGACCCAGAGAGTTTAAATGATTTGCCTAATGAAGGGCAGAGCTGGGATGATTCTAGTGGCCAATAACCTCATTAAGTAGCCTTTGCCTCTTCTGTCCTCAATACCTGTCTTCCCTAGAAACACTCTCTAGCTGAACAAGGACACTTTCCTCTGCTCACGTATTCTCATTGTGCCCATATACAACTTATTTGTACCTGCCTCTAAGCCTTTACATACGTTATTCCCCAAACATGATCCTTTTCGCTTTTTTTTTATCATCCTTCCTGTCTTTCATACTCAAACCTTTACTCACTTTCTTTAGGAACCCTTCATTGATTAGCCCTGTCCCTTTCCAATCACTCATTTGATATCTCCTAACATTTATATGTTCAGTTCACAACCACATTTATTCATCAGACTTGTCTCTGTCCTGCTGTGAAGTTATTCAAGTCAGCCAGCTTACTTCCAATAGAAATTATTCCATTGGTGGTATGATACAGACTCACTAAACCCACTAACACCTCCTCTCTCTTGACATGCTTCAGCTCCCAATCCTGTGTCAACTCACAGCCCTGGCTCATGGTATTGCCCCAACCAGAGATCACACAATTATCTTCATCTTGGGCACAGGAAGAGGGTAGACTCATGGGAACCACTCTGCCGTCGAAGGTGACAGGGGTGGCCAGCTTGATCAGCATGATGTCATTGTCTATAGTTGAGTCATCATAGTCAGGGTGCAGGACAAACTTGGCTGCAGGAATGAACTGTTCCATCTCCTCCCTTGATGATATATTGTGTCCCCCCAGTCTCACTTGGATGTGGCTGGAGAAGAGAAGAAACCTGTTAGAAATGCTGCTCTTTGTTAACATCACTACTGTTTACCTTTTTGGCATTTACATCAGCAGTTATCTGTATAATTCCTTGAAAATAGTATATGTTTTCTGTTTGTGTGAATCTTGTTTTAGCGTTTTGACTTTGGGCAAGCACTTTGACCTCTCTGAGTCTGGGTTTCCTAATTTCTTCCTCATCCTCACTTGAGGGATAATACTATAATACCTCTCAGGAATAATGTGGGAATCAGATGAAATTTTTTTAATCTATATGTATACATTCACATATGTGCATATGTGTATATATACATACACACATCTATAGATACATATATACATACATGTATGTTGTACTCTCTAAACAGTGCTCTATAAATATTATTATGATGATCACCATCAGCAACATTATTATTAATGATCATTTTTATAGATCTCTATCAGATTGGTTTGCCTGAAACTGAGGATTATGTCTCTTTAATCAGAGTAAAAGTTCTCTTATGGAAAGAACCTTGTCTCCGTTTTTTTTTTTTTTTTTTAACATAGGGATCAGGATGGGTGAGTCCTAAGAATCTGCTCTACCACTCCCTGGATGGCTTAAATCTTTGGCTGCTTGGATGAGCTGGTGTAGATGGGTCAAATCCTTTATCCCTTTTTCCATTCATGTTACTTACGGATCATAGCAGTGTGCAGCAGACAGTACCCACTGGCTACTGAGGAGTGTCCCCCCACAGATGTGATATTTCACTGTCAGGGACACCTGATATCGGGCAGTGTCTTTGGGGCAGGCATAACCTCCAATGATCTTGTCATCATCCTCATTGTAGAGTGGGAGAGCGGCTAAATTGGGAGGAAGAGATGTGAAATGTTATCTATAAAAAATAAAATTGTCATCAGGGTGAAAAGCATATCTAAGTTTTGACCTCAGCTTTTTTTTTTTAACCTTACCTGTTTCCAGGGTTTCTAGACAAAGAGTTCACACTTTTCTTTAGAGGGAAAATTGATGCAAAGTATTTCTATTTTAATCAGAAAATCAGCTCTAGGTAGCTTATGTTAGCCACAGAACCATAGGATGCACTAGCTGGATGAAGCTATGAGAAGCCATCATATCCAGCCTCCTGTCAATCAACAAGCCTGTACTATATTCTCTTACATCACCTCTCTTTTTCATTTTCAACGTCAGCACCCTGATGAAGAACTTCACTCCCTCATGCTTGTATTATTAAAATTGCATTCTGGCCACTTTCTGACCCCTGCCATGTCACAACCCTGCTCAATAATTTTTATTGACTTTTCATATATACATAAAGTCCAAACTTCCCAAATTAGCATTCAAGGCTCTTGGCAATCTGACCCCTTTCTAATTTTACTTCCCACTATTAATCAATTAACCAATCAATATGTATTTATTAAAAGCCTGCTATGCCCCAGGCATTTTTGTTAAGCCTTAGAGAAAGAAAGAAAGAAAGAAAGAAAGAAAGAAAGAAAGAAAGAAAGAAAGAAAGAAAGAAA